CCCCCCACTGTCTTTCCCTTTACATGCCTGCAGGTGTATTTATATCGCCGATTGGAACAGGAGCGCTGTTTACGCCTAGCGTTAAATAACCCACCCTGGGCGTCGTAGCAACAGGTCTATAAAACACTCAGGATGCCAATAGTGATTTCACTTACCTCCATTAAGTTTATTCGTACTTTACGAGGCTAGAGAAAAGGAGAAAGGAGCATAGACGTTGACCTTGTAAGAGAAAATGCATAAAGAGCGACTGTTGTCTACGGGAAGTTTGGAGCTGCGCAAATGTAACCAGGATACTTTGCTAAATGGTTTCAATTGTGTGATTCAGCGATTTGAATATATCTCAGGGTGGGAAGACTGTAGATGCCAGATCTGAAGCTGCATCGCGCAGCGTTGTGCTCGTCACGGTGTCGCCTCCACGCAGAAGTATAATCAGCCTTTACTCCCTTCAGGTGGATGAATAATCTCTTGATTACCCGCAGGTTTTGGACCAGCCATTTTCCACATGGGCTCTCCCCCTCCCCCGCCCATGTCCATGAGACCTCCGGGGCAGCTGCACTATCCTTCCCAGGATCCTCAGCGCATGGGCGCCCATGCCGGCCGGCACGATGGCTCCTAATTTGCCTTTTTAAAATGAATTTTTACCCAATAATAGACGTGACGTAAGAGGAGAGATATTCGGTGCCGTTGTGAGCTGAGTTGTTGTCATTTCGGTGACTTGAGGCATTGACGGCGCAAGTTTAGCAGGAAATGAAGGAATCTGATGTGCTTTGAGGTGGTTTGGTGTGCTTGGACCTCACAGGGCACGGAAGATCCCCTCTGCTTTTCAAGAAGTGCGGTTGATTCTTATGTAAATATTTCCTTTTGCTACTCACGATGTGTATATGGACGCTGGTGTATTTCCGGGTGTGACCCCAGCCTTCGTTTAAGTCGCAGGCTGTTTCCTGACTTGTGTTGTTTGTATGCCTGCTGTCACGCATCCTGCCGGACCGGTGAAAACCAGTCACGCGGCGCCGCTCATAAGAATCACGCCACGTCACTCTGCATTGCCTTAAGAATTGTGAAATGCTTCTTTTCATTAAACCATCTCAACGTTACTGTGTGTTCTGTGTTTGTGTGTTGTGGAAGCTGCTCTTATATGTGGGTAACACTATTCTCTTGCATCTCCAGGGCTCGGGGGAGGGGCTGAATCTCACCCCCGCTCCTTATTTGAAGTTGGTACGTTCCCTCTTCCCACAGTCCAAAACCATAGAATAGGGAATCTGCATCTTTTGCCTTTAGTGACTGTTTGCCTACAGCGCTTCCCTTGCCTTAAGCCCTCCACTTGGTCTTTGGACCATGGATGGATGGATATATAGTATGCAGAAATGCTTAGCTCCGGTCCAGAGAGTAAAAGTCCAGACCAAGATTTTGTTCTAACCAACTGGTTGAGTATATAGAGTCACCCAAATTACCCGCCACCTTTTAACGTCTAGACACCGCTTTGATATGTTTGCATTTTTTTTTTCTTTTTCATTCGGACTGGTAATTTTAACGGGTCACAGTCATTTTTCATGAAGACGCTTCCGCCGTGAGCTGAACAGATCGCATTCTTCAGAAGGAAAAATGTGTCATGCGGCTGAGAGAACGTTGTAGAGCTGAACGTGTCGGCGGGAAATCCGCCATAGCGCTTGAACAAAAGGCAAATACTTAATGGAGAAATTGCCAAGTCACGAATGAGAAATGATCGGTTACTGTGGAGATCGTGCATGATTGTGATCGCTTACATACGGCACTGCGCTTAAAGCATTAATACAGGGTTTCCGAACTGATTTCAGACACTACCAGGTTATAGGTTTATTATAAGCCATCTGCATGATGTGAGGTGGGAGGGGCCTTCAGGCCTCACAAGCCCCGCCCCCTCTCCCTCATAGGTCCGTGGACTCAGGTTTCTTGCTTAAGCCCCACCCCTGAGGTGCCCGGTTGAAGTTGGGCCTTCTGGAGATGCGATCCCAGTCCAGGCTGGGCTCCGTGTGAGCCAGGGCAAGCTCGAATCCCGGCAGTGGCAGGGTCCTCGCACTCCCGGCGGTCCCGCGGAACGGAACCGGCGCTCTGGGAAAGAGAAACGGTGCATTTTCACAGGTTCCGTGTCAGTACGATTTCAGTTATTTAAATCGGCTGATTAAATATCTTTGCTTTTACTGTAATGGTGGCCAGGCCGTGTTAACATCTTTTAGTAGGTCTGTTAATTAAATGGGCATTACGAAAGCTCTACTGTGTAATGGGTGATATTTCCCTGCCAGTAGATGGCAGCATTGAATTGAATCTCTTAGAATGGGGGCATCCTCAGTATCTCTGATGCCTATAGTGTTTTCCTTATACTGTTGGGAAATATTGTTTCTTATCTTTTAAACATACCAGATGTTGGCTTCAGGGTTCGTGTTCAGCTTGCGATTTTATTATGTGCGACTTTCCTCGACCCCCATGGTTATTTCAACATCTTCCCTAATGTCCCCGATACCGATGTCTCACTTTAAGTGCCGATGCTAGATCACTTGGCAGTGATTCCATCTCAGACTATTGTGATTGAATCTGAGTGATATTTGCTAACATCACACGGCGAACACTACACCACATGCCAGGTCTGAAGTCTGACACGTCGTCTGTGTGTGTGTGTGTGGTGTATTGTATTGTAGTGTAGTGTAGTTTTAACGGACATAGACTTTGTAGGTGTCTTGGGTAAATGCTGCACCTGAGGCGTGTATCACAAACTTGTCGGATTTAAGGTGGTCTGGGCTAAATGTAACGGAGCAAAGATAAAGTCCATTTAAACTGGGGCACCTTAAATCTGACAAGTTATCCAGCTAAGCGACAAAAACGGCTTTGTGATACCGGCCCCTAGACAATAAATACACAAAAATATGATGCAAACCTAGCAAAAACTCCTATTCTATTCAGCTGATTAAAAATAAAGCATTTGACCATTCTAGATTTAAATGTAACGGTGAATAAGTGAAGGTAGAAATGAGATGTAATATATTCTTTAGCAGTGATCTTGGCCATTAGATTGGTTCTTGCCAACAAATGTAAAGAAAAATAATTTCGGATAATTTTTGTCTGCTTGTATAATCAGCTATTGTTATTTATCGCACCTTATCAATCTTAACAGCCAATTATAATTATCTAAAAGGTAATAATGTACTTAACATACTGCTTTTTTTTAAGATTTATGAGGAAAAAATCAGTAACCCCCCCCCCCCCAGTTGGCATCATTTTCATAATTTAGCCCCCACTTAGACTTAATTTTAACGATGATTGAAAGCCGACAATTCATTCAATTGAGAGCTCACTCAAAGATGAAAGGTTGCATAACAAGATGGCCGACCGGAAACAAAAAACCGGCATTTCCTGCAGACTCATGCCTGTGGCTGTGCTCGAGACACGAGAGCAAGGGGGCGCAAGGCCATATCGTGTGTGACCTGTCACTCTAGGGCAGGGGAAGCCGTGCGACAGGCTGTCCTAGCTGTGGTCCGTCTCCTCAATGGAAATGACCAGCATTCCTGAGCCCTGTGCAGTGACTGTATTCTGTCGACCTAAAAGCTCATCAACCTTCACGGCGGCTGAAAACCGCCCAGGAAATCGCTGGTCAGGCCGCCAGTTAAAATACAACACAAGCACCGAAGCAAGAGAATGGTGCTAAAATATCCACTGGGGACCCAAGGGAGGTTTCTGCTTCCAGACGGGCGCTGATGCCCAGTAACTTTGCACCTCGTTCCCATTTCTGGGACTAATTGAAATTAGCTGGTCTAACGAATATCTTTTTTTTCTCTAGCGCATGGGAAGTATTTTAATTCACACGTTGTCTTCATAACCTTTTTCTCTCTAGTTAGTGAATGAGACCATTTTAGCACAAATTATGGCAAAATTAAAATACAGAAAACGGTGAAGTTATGAGTAGAAAGTCCAAACAACGGGGTTACATAATTTAATTAGATTAAGAACATGCTCTTCATTTGACTTAGAATGATGGAATTAGGGTGAGATGGATTGGCTTGCAGGTTGTGGGGAAATCAACGATGTAATCGTATGGTGATGAGGTTAATATCCGTGTTACTGTCTGTTCCCAGACTGTAAGAACCACATCTATATCTATACAACAGACCATTGGGCAAAACAGCTGCTGGTGTCCCGGGCCTCAGATCAATGATCTTTTAAAGTCAGCTCTTTGCTGGGGAAAAGTCACTGTAACAGATGTATTGAATAGGTTTATTTTACTCAACAAACCTCACAGTCATCACCTCACAGACTGTAGCAGTGCACATAACAGTATCTTTTGCATACATCAATACAGACCTTTAACTCGACAGCGTTTTAGCGGTGTGTCCTTTATGATACAGGAACACGATCCTCTGTGTGTACCATCTGGTCTGAAGGCTTGAAAGGCATGTACAGAGTGTGGAGGCGTTTTCTGTGTGACCTTTTGGTTTAAATAGATGCTGAACTCACAGGTCCAGGGAACCAAGAGCCAGAACTGGGCTCAGGTTTCAGAATCAGACCTCACACAGTGTCAAGCAGCTTCAGTGATCTCATTTCTATTGATCTGGGCATATTATTACCCTTCGGTTCTGTGATAACTTAATACCTTTAATTTATGTAGCAAATGGCTTTATCCCAAGTGACGTGCACTTGAGAGACCAGGCACAGATAATTCCCAGCGCTATTGGGGGTTAACCACGTTGCTCATGAGCCCAGGGATGAAATCACTCCGCTGACCGTGGGATTTGAACCTATGACCTTCTAATCACAGGCACAGCCTCCTAATCCACTGAGCCATATACCACCCCAATAAAATTTGCTTTATTGATTCAGAGGGGAATTTCTTTAATGCAATCACACCCCGGCTGGGACTTGAACCCATCATCCCTGGCATCCATTAGGCTACTGGGGCTCGCTTAATAATGCTTCCATTATGTTATTTAAGTGTTTAAAATTGTATTATTTGTAAAGATAGCAATTGTTAGGAGATGATCAAAGCTACTTGTTTAATCCTTTAGGATGAATGGCTGTAAGGATTTTTTATTTCTTTTTATTTGACAATTCAGCCCACTGTGCATCATTTGTATGAACACATGACCCCCTGCAGCTGGCAGTTACCTGTTGAAGCACTTGTAGTCGGCAGGTGTGAGTTTCTGGGCCAGCTCTGGCAGATGAGCGTGGATGGTGGCCAGGAGTTTCTCCCCGGCACCCAGATCCTCCCGCCAGGGTGAGTAGTAGGACTTGGGGATGACAGTGACGTTAAACTTCTCGTGAGGAATGTCCTTCAGCGGCTTCGCGTAGCCTGAGAAAAGGAGAAGCTGCTGAGACGGCCGGGGATCCGGAGTATCGACCCCCGGTTTTGTATATATATCATGTCTATAAACCAATAAGGTAGGACGTCACAGCAGCTGTGTTACCCGGAGCGAGGGTGTCAGGGCTTCCTTTATTGGCCACTGTGCCCTTCAAGGCCGAAACAAGGCTATTTCTCCCAGGCTGCTTGATGAAGACCTCGGTTTGAAAGCTCCCCTTCCCATCGTCTTCTCCTCCCGACTCAAGCTCGGACCTCTTAGCCTGGCTCGATTCCGCTACCTAATTAGACAAAACATATTTAGATGCACTATAAAAATGAATTGAGTTGAACTTAATTTACCAGCAGGCAAAGAAGGCTAAGGCTGTTTTATCAATATGCGTTTAATCGTTCATTCATACCCATTTGACGTGATCTTCCATTGCCAAAATACAATTTTAATACTCAAGAACAAGTATGGAGGACACTATAAATTCCTGGATGTCACTGTTGCCTCGCCCCAAATTTCAAGGATTCATCGGTTGCATCCTCGCCGAATGAGACTAATCCCATGATTCATTGCATCCCAAGTTCATTCATGAGAGGCAAGTTATGAAGAATACTCTTACCAAAAACACAAGTACGTTCTTTATGTTCTTGGTATTGATAAACAGCCAGTTTTGGGCACCATACCTTGCCTGAAGCTCTTCCAGCGTTCTCCAGGATGAACTTATCTACCCTCCTCAACCTCTCGTGAAACATACGGGATCCCCTGTTGGTCAGGAGCTTCAGTTC